ATTGCCTTCTCCACAATATCTTTCTTTTCTAACACCCATGCGGTGAAGGTAATTGGTAGGTTCCTTTCTCCATGCTCCTATAATATCCTTTAAATTTATATATAGTTTTGTTTTTGCAGAACATTTCATATTTATCTCTGATATGTCTATTATCTACTAGGCTAAGAGTTTTCCCAGAATGAGTCTTGTTTATATTTTTGGTAACTACTGCAATGACCAGGACACAGTAAGCATTCTGTAAATAATTATTCTAAAAATTATTACACAACAGTATGATCTCTATATCCTGTCAATAGCTCTATGAGTTAAAAAGCAGTTAATACTCTCATTTCACAGGTAAAGAGGCTGAGCCTTGGCAATTTAAAGGCCACAATTCTAATAAGTCCTGCGAAGTGACTAGAAGCCAGTTCCACACATTTAATGTTCTTTCAGTTTGCCCAATATCATTCTTCTGCGGTAACTTGCTCTTGTGAATTATGAATACTTCAATTTAATATATCCCATATTTATATTCCTGAGGGACTCAGGAACATAAAAGTTAATAACAGGGTAAAAGGTCATTGTACTAATCTTAAAAAATATGAAAGGCCACATATACTGAATAAAAATAACTTTATTAGAAGAGGTTAAATATTTCTGAGATAACATACAATTTTTATGTCACATTAGAAAGTTAATTTTATATGGGTTTTCCCCATAGAGAGAATAAAATAAAACGTTGGTCAGTTTTTGCATTTTATGAAGTAATGGTTCTTCACTTCTTGACATCTCCAGGGAACAGTTTTCAAGTAAATTTTCCCAAAAGAGATTTTTTTTCTTTGACGCTCATATTAATATGCACATGCATATTTTTATGAGTAGAATAAAATAAGTTATAAACAAATCCTAAAGGAAATAAAATAGAATATGTGCTACCTGAAATGACTAAACAGAAGCATATAATCATTTTGTAATAAAACAGCTATGACTTTATTCTTTTCTCATTTGCTTTGTTGCTGATCGCACATTAATATGTTTTACTATAGACTATGTGATTACAGAAATATACATATTGTTAAAGTATCAATATAGCTTCTAGAACAATTTATATATGTATGATATATATGTGTAGCGACTTTAGATTAACTAAGGATATACAACTTATGCTTAAATTAGTCAGCTTTTAAGCAATACAACAAATAACAATAAAATATATCAATCCAAATAAATAAGTATAAAATTTTAGCATAATAAAAATTAAAATGCATATGACCACTTGGGAAAATATGTTCATTCATTGACTAAGTAGCTTAATTTACAATGGTGATCATTAACTTGGATTTTAAGGTAATAAGAATTTTCTGCAGGGAGGTCAATGAACTCTATGAAACTGTATGCAAATATGTATGCATAGACATTTTTCTCTAGAAAAGGTTCATTATTTTCATCAGACAATCAAATGGAACCCACGACTTGAAATGTTTAAGAATTACCGATATATAATTTTCCCGTTCCAATTAATTTTAAAATATTAAGTGCTCAATAGATACATGAGCAAGGATATAAACAAGTATTTTGACAAAAGTAGGAACATGCAGAAAAAATAAATACATGAAACATGTTCAACTTCATTAGTAATCAAATTAATTATAATTAAAGCAAACATGAAGTATCTCCTTATGTCTAAACAAAGTAGCAGTACCTTAAAAAAACTAAAGCAACAAAATTCCTATCAACACCATACCTGCTGCTAACATTATAATTCCCAACCTCATTCTTTCTGGTACCAGTAGAAGTGGGTATGACCCCTTGTAAAATACTATACAAATATTTAACAAAAGTCATAAAGGTTTTCATAATGTTGACCTGATAATTCATTCCAAGACAATTATAAAACAAAAAAGAAGTGAATTCCTGAACATGTTTATTGTGACTTGGTGTCTAATAGCAAACAAAAGGAAAGAGCAGCTTTTATGATATTTATGATAAAATAAGTGAAAAAGAAAGAATATTATTTTGGTTATATAAAATATATATTTATGGGGGATTGTAATGTGTTGATTTTTGGATGTTAAAATATTTCCATAATGATATATATGACAAAAATACCAAATATCAATTACTAAATGTAAGAGCATTATTATTGAAAGTATTAATAACCGTATCATCCAGCATCATAGGGAAGGTTTATTACTCAGTTCTAGATCAGTTCATACAGACATATAAGTTATGCATTGCAACATTCCAGTATGCTATTCACATAGGTTAGAGCATACATGGAAACTCCTTGAGTTGTTCAAAGTAGAAGCTCTGAATTCATGATTATTTTGCATTTGTGCTAATGTGTTCACCTTTTGTGACTCTGATTATCTTACAGTATTCTGTATTATTAATTATGCATTTATAATGTAAATGATATATATCTGATCAATGTGAAAAGCCATGGACTTTGACTCTGAAAATCTATATTAAGTTAATTTCTGTCACTTAATAGTTTTATTCCTTCTCGGCTTGTGTTTATGTATAAAGTAATAAATTATGTACAGATTCAGATGACATAATTAAAACAACTTTACGAATAGTAAGGCACTAAGAATTGTAATATATTTTATAATAATAATACAATTGTTTTAATAGTTATTATGTTAAAGAAAATATATGCTACCATACCAAAATAAAACATTAGCATATAATTTATGGAAGACATATTTTTCTCATATTAAAGACATAGAGGTAAGAGAGGACAACTAGCAAAGATGTTTATATGTTGAAGCTCACATTTAGTGTTATTTACACAGTAGATACATAACATTTTACACATAATGTCACGGTTTTCATGCCGCCCTCAAAGCTTACCCCAAAATTGCTCCTTTTCCATATAATTGAAAAGAATAAAAATTTTGTTCTACTACCTATTTTTCACTTGAAAGCCTCTAGATTAAATCACTTCAAACAACCTCATATTGAGCTTTTGGCAGAGGATTTTGGGTTTGTTTCAAAGACATCGAAAGTATGCTTTCAACTGACTCATTTACTCTGCTTTCTGACAGAAGGTATGCATGCACATATAGGAAAAATAAGTGGAATTGCAAAGAAGGTCATTTACTTTACGGAATAGATGTATATATTACTGATAAATAGATGTATTGACAAATCTTCCTCCAGAAAGTCAATTAAGATGGTTTAATTTTGATTATTTGAAACGTTCTATTTCTTTTTAAATTATTTTGGAAGGGCTAGTGTTAATTTTATGGACGTAAAGATTCAAAGGAGGCTAGAATAGGTTTGAAAATTATTACTATCTGTTTATATTTATTCACAGTTGTCAACAAAGGAAATACTTCCATATTGTAGCTAAGATTTATTGTATACCATATGAATAATGTTAATATTAACCATATATATAGTAGCTTGTGGGAATAACACGATTAAATAAGAAAAATGTATTTTGAATGCTAAATAAAATTTCTCATCTAAGATGACAGTTTGACATTTATTTATTCACTGTTATTTCTCATTTTGATTAAAGAAATCTACTTATAGATTAATATCATGATTTAAAGATACACAGATATTTTTAGTGCATGCATATATCCATTATGAGAAAGCAATTCCTTACTGTATATCATGTTTTTAAGAGAAGCAATGGAGATTTACTACTGAAAAAAATATGAGAGCAAATAAAGTTACTTTGTAAAGGGCATTATAATAACAGTTCTTTTGATCCAAGTAAATAAAATATGAAATCTATCCATTTTAAATATCTCTCAGGTGTATTCTTTTACTGAACATTAACTAATATGGTTACATTTACAGTAATTAAAAAATAGTCTTTGGCTTGGAGAAAAACATTTTAATATATCAAGATTGATGGTTTTCCTGTCCATTTGACTTAATACTAATTTCCAGATTAGGGAAAAAAAGATGATGTGTAGAAGCATGAATTCTGTGAAGTCGTTTTTTTAATAATTTTTCTCCCTAATCCCTTAGTATAAATCCTCGAGGATTTTTCCTTTGAGTATTTACATGTAAGCCATGAAGAGTACCATTTGCATTTTTATTTGAAATTTTCTGACTTTTAGATGAAAATAGGTCCTAGAAATTTTAGAGTTGTAGAATCTCCCCTCCCTTAAAGCATTCATGTATTTGTCAAATATATTTTCTGAGTTCTTAATTTGTTCAGACAGTGTGCTAAGTTCTGGGAAGCAAAGATAACTAAACCATGCTCCTGCTCATCAGGAAACCTCTTCCATAGAGGGAGAAGGCCCATGGTAGAGTATGTAGATGCTGCAAAGGAAGGAATAATCATTTCTACATGGCTGGGGAGATAGTATGGGAAAAGGCTCAGAAGTAGTTATCAGAGTAAATGACAGCTGAGAGTTTGTTTTAATTATACTAGAGTATCTAGTCATAACTGAGGAATAAATACTATTATTCAGATGAGACTATTTTTCTGTAATCATACAGTGTTTGCATGACTATGGGTTTGGTCATAATAATTATATATATATATATATATATATATATAATTATTATTTTTTTACTTTTTTGAGACAGGATCTCCCTCTGTCACCCAGCCTGGAGTGCAGTGCCATGATCTTGGCTCACTGCAACCTCCACCTCCTGGGTTCAAATGATTCTCCTCCCTCAGCCTCCCAAGCAGATGGGATTACAGGCACATGCCACCAGGCCTAGCTAACTTTTGTATTTTCAGTAGAAATGGGGTTTCGCCATGTTGGCCTAGCTGGTCTTACACTCCTGGCCTCATGTGATCTGCCCTCCTTGGCATTCCAAAGTATTGAGATTACAGCTGTGAGCCACCGTGCCTGTCCATTTTTCAGATATAATTTTAATTTGAATGCCCCAAACCAACATCACTCATATTTAATTCCATTTATCAATGATGTAATACTAAATGTAAATGAACACTAACACATAATAATGGAAAGTTACTTTGGTTGTAAAATATAAATTACATTTAAAGTTGCTTCTTAACTTTTACTTTTTGCTTTGCATTTTAGATGAAAGAGAAGATGTTCAAAAGAAAACATTCACAAAATGGATAAATGCACAATTTTCTAAGGTAAGAATGGTTTGTTACTTTAAAGGCGTAATATAAGTTGTGAAATTTTTGAAATGGACTATGTACCTGTGTATTTTAAAAATCCATGTTATTTTTCTCATAGTGTCATTTTATTTTAGCTGTGCAAATCTGGGGTTATAATGTTGACTTTTATTTAAAAAGCAGAAGATACGGCAAAGATACATTATTTAATCTTATACAATATATATCTTCGATTCTTCTTGACAATGTGAGTTTCTTTAATGACATGAGTCACAGGATATTATAGGTGTAATCTTCTATCAAGTAGCTGGAATGTTACACAGAAGAAGAAGATATGCAATAATTTGTTGCAAAAATTATTATTATTTTTATCCCTCTTGATCTTTTACCAAGTTCAAGAAAAACAATATAATTGCCTTGGGTGTATTCGGCCCCTATAATTTAGAGCATATTTCAAATAATTGAAAACAATAAGTTCATCTTGTTTTTCTGCAGGCATCAATTCATACTCTCGATATATACTTATTTTGCAAATACAACTTAATTTCTAATCAATAGCACAACTCTAGATAATTATAGGTAAACACAGAGTAAGATATTGTTACCTTGAAAATTAGTATTAGGAATGCAATATATGGACATTTATTGGGATGCCAAGATTTAAAAGTCTTGCATTTTAATTATTATTCTGGATTTGGGTTAATCAATCAAATGTTTGGTGAGTCAGTTTTCTTATGTTTCCATCATGATTGTTTGTGTATGTTTATATTGATTGCTTACTTGATACATCAAATCTAGATAATGGAAAGTAAAGCTAATAAAATATGGCCCTTAAACCCAAGGCTTTAATAGTGGCATAGTTGTGATAATGGATATTCTGTTTATTATTGTAATGATTTAAAGAGTCACTAAAAGTGAAAATTCCTAGTCCAATGCCTGATACTCTTAATAGCTGTGAATTACTCAATCTGTGGGTCTGAGTTTGAAAAAATCATGATAATGGATCCAAAACAATCGACTAGAAGATGTAATCTCAAAAGTTCTCCCTTTTCTATGACAAAAGTTTTTAGAGTATCATCCGCTCTTTGTGGTATTTGGTAGCAGAATGTTGCCATGTTCTCTTTAATATAACTTACTGAATTTTAATTAATAAAAGTTCATATTATTCACTTGCTGAATTAATAATAAATTTCTATTAGAGACATAAACAAAAACATATATTTAAAAAATGTTTTTAAAATTCTCAACTTTTTTAGCCAAGTGAAATAAAATATAAAAACACAAATATAGGAGAATAAATTAAAAACTCAGGATATTTAGGATAGGTATTCGTAATTCTCAGAATATTTACCAGATAGGTATATATGGTTTAATTGCTGTATATACTGGCATAACTGACATTTTAAAGTTTTGGAATTCTGAAGCAGACAAGAGATGTATTTTCAAACAAGCATACAGACAAATCAGAATTGTGAAGGAATTTTCTAAAATAATAAATGTCGTAATACTCTGAATCTTTGACTTGAACCAGAGTAATTTTTATAAGGTGAATAAATATGACAAGCACTGTATATCCTCATTCCCAAAAATCGAATAGATCTTCACTCTGTACATTAACTTATCACAACTCACCTGTTAATATACAAATCAAACTTGATATCCAATCCATCCTCTATTAATATATTGCTAGCACTGCCTTAGAGCAATTAGGTATTTTTTTTCTGTCCTTATGAATGCCCATATCTTAAGACTGTAAAATAGTTCATGTATATTAATACATTTACGGTTTTTCTCCCAAATATTTGCATCCTCTAATTCACCTTCCACTTTTCATTTATATTATAAATGTCCTCCCTAAGTCTGTTATAATTTTATCAGGAGAGTCACCATTCTTTCAAGTACAGAAATTTTCTTATCAAGCATATCCTAGGTGCCAGAAATACAAATAAAAGTTTACAAAGACAAAGGAGAAAACTTATTTAAAGGTAAAATGTATATGTAAGTGTGCTGAGAACCTGAAAAGAATCTTTTTCATATTTTCTTACTATTTTCTGTCAAAACTTAGGTAAATGACTACATTACTTTGGATACTTTTGAAGATGGTACAAATTTAGAGGAAGCTAGTTGATTCAGTTTAAGCCACTTGGTGATACCAAAACATAAACATAATTGTGATATATGTCATTTGACAATTTATTGCATCACTGCATGCCTTTCAGCAGAATTCTAGCCCTGGAGGATACACAAATGAGTTGAAATGGAATCTCTTGATCTCATGGAAACTTCACAGTAATTTGGGAGTTTTTGGTTAATTGCTAAGTGGAGTAGAAATGAGTGGGCTTAATGTGGGTGGTCTGAGAAAGCAGTAATCTGAGCTAGAGGGAATCTGGTAACTTTTATGAAGAAAGCTCTAAAATGTGAGCCCATCAAAGGCAGGAATGTTTATCTTCTTTGTAATCTCAATGTTTATTACTAGTGCATTACATAAATGTAATAAGTACACTAGGTCCATAGTACAAATCATTAAATCTATGCTAAATTTAGAAAAAGAAAAATTGCATGGAAAAATTGTGCTGAAGAGGACTTTAAAAAGAAAGAAAAGGCAATGAAAAATTATCTGTCTGTGTGGTAAATTAGATACAGACACATATTCAAACAACTATAAAAATGCCTCCCTAATAAACCTTCTAATTCATATTCATTTTATAGTTGTATTAATGTGTGTCTGTGTCTAATTTACCACACAGATATTTTTTATTGCCTTTTATACACATTTACATAATATTTATAAATTACAGAGAGACAACAAAGTATTTCCTTGTTTCCTTGTTATTTTATAAAGCTACAGGAGGAATATTTTAAGGAAATAAATGCGATTAAATATATCCTTGTTGTGGCTTCATTTGAAGTCAAATGTGTCTTTGGAGTAAATCTAACTGATTTTTCACTTTCCCAGTACCATTTTAAAAATAAGCCCTATCTCTTTTTAAAATAAGTCTTCTATTAACCTTCGATTCCAAACAATTCTACTAGAATGTGATTTATCACATCTATTATATAGAGACAAGTAAACAATATTTATCTCCACATAAACACAAAGCCATTTCTAGATAAGATTAATTCAGGGTAAATATTCCTTCCATGTAATTTATTGATATGTTATAATCCTTTAAAAAGCCTAGTGTATACTCTATGGCAAATATAATTTGCATTATAAAAATCTTACTTATTCACACAGGCTTATTAAAGGAAAGTACAGTTTTGAAATAATGACCAAAAATAATTTTGTCATAAAATGTGCTTGGTGTTTGCGTTTGAGAAAAAATTTTATGGCAAAAATGTTTACTACTAGATCAATTGAGCGATATAAACTTTATCCCTATGAGTGAGATGATGGTTTTGATCCTATACAGAATTTAGTGATCATCATTATTTCTGTACTGCACTCTTCTCTCTAAGTTTTTTCCAACATAGTATGCATATTTGACTTAAATGAAGTAGAAATGTATAATTAATTTTGTCGAATGTCTTAACAAGAGCCCATGATATGGTAGCGTTCCTGGACCAAACTTAGGGTTGGGCTGCTTATTCTTGTTGCCCGATAATGAGATGCAGATGAACTGGGAAAAGAGGAATTTTTTTTTCTGTAACTGGTTATAGGGAGACGGCCTGGAAATTACACCCAGACTAACTAAAAATTGCAAAGTTTTTCAGAGCTTATATACCTTCTCAGCTATATGTCTAGGTGTAAGTGTGCATTCATCTAAAGACATAAGTGGTTAACTTCTTCTAATCTATAACTGACATCTGAGTCCTGAAGACCTTCCTCTGTAGCCTCAGTAAGTTTACTTAATCTACGTGGGTCCTTGTGCTGGGTGATTACCCTTATCTTGTCTCCTGCTGAGTCATGGAGGTTGGGAGTGTTCCTTCAGACCCCCAATAAACTTGTTTATGGAGGCCTGGGGAGTTTCTTCAGACCCCTAATAAAATTTTTCTAATCCTAAAAGGACCCTCTTAAGAATTCCATTAGCTTGCCATGCTTCAAGGACCAAGAAAGGCCTGGGCAAAACTTTTGGTGGGCTTTTGTTACCTTCCAGCCTTTGTATATGGGCACTGGCTCTATCAGCTTTTAATATTTAACTTCACCACTCACTCAGTGCTGAAACAGTTGTTATGGAGGCCTGCGTTAGTGAGACCTGGCCTGCCACCAAAGTTCATTTATCTCTTCATTGCTGCAACATAAGTGTCCACATTAAAAAGCCAGGACTCACCCTCTTTGGACAACATCATGTAATAAAATAAATTTGTATGACATACTTTTTGCAAGATTTATTTTTAATTTACCTTCTAGTCAGCATGATAAGCATGATGTAGTGTAAAGTAACAGAAACTTGTGAGTCAGTAAAGCAGGCTTTCTTTTTTTAACATTTATTTTAAGTTCAGGAGTACATATGTAGTTTTCTTACACAGGTAAACTTGTGTCATGGGGATGTGCTGTACAGATTACTTCATCACCCAGGTATTAAGCCTGGTACCCATTAGTCATTTTTCCTGATCCCCTCCCTCCTCCAACCCTCCACCCTCCAATTAGACCCACTGTCTGTTATTCCCTAGTATGTGTCCATGTGCTTTCATCAATTAGCTTCCACCCAAAAAAGAACATGCAGTACTTGATTTTCTGTTCATGCATGAGTTTGCTGAGGATAATGGCTTCCAACTCCATCCATGTCTCCGCAAAGGACATGATCTCATTTTTTCGTATGGCTGCATAGTATTCCATGATACAGTTGTACCACATTTTCTTTATCCAGTCTATCATTGATGGGCATTTGGGTTGATTCCATGTCTTTGCAATTGTAAATAGTGCTGCAATTAACATATGTATGAACATGTCTTTATAATAGAATGATTTATATTTCTTTGAGTATATACCCAGTAATGGGATTGCTGGGTTGATGGGCAGTTCTGTTTTTAGCACTTTGAGGAATCATTACACCAACTTCCGCATTGGTTGAACT